AATTAGATCACATCAAGTGAAAGGACCTCATGAATTAGATCACATCCAGTGAAAGGACCTCGTCAATTAGATCACATCCAGCGAAAGGACATCATCAACTTTTAATATTTGGAAATAACGGTAGCTAAAATCAAAATGTTGCGTTTCATTCACGGTCCGATATCGGCGAAAAGCGCGGTAAATGTTCCCGCGAAACAGGCTCATTATCAACGGTCCAGCGGACATAAGCGCCAATATCATTCAAAAACCAACATGGCGGAAAAGAAGATGTGTTTCTGCACCAGATGAAGGAATTCACTGCAAGAAAACGCCAGAATAAACACTTCTAAATACAAAATTTCGGTTGAAATTTAAAGGTTAGTGCTTTGGGATCCTTCTTGCGCGGCTATTAATTTAAAAACTTTGATGTTATTTCATTTTTTCGAAGTTTTTATCGACCTCTTCGCTCAAACGAAAAGGAATCAACATTCCAATACGTTTAAATATCTAACTTGTTGTTGGATAAATGCAATTTATTTTTAAAATAAAATTATTTATTTGAATAGTGTTATCTTTCTTAGTAATGTGTTGTGAATTCCCGATACAGTTCCTTTGTGTTTATATTTGATAAATACGTAAATATAGCTAGAATTCTTATTTATTTTGACTTTTTTTTCTTTTTTTTAGGACTGTGTTATGACGTCTCGACACAATTCCGTCGATAATTCAAGTTCATCGAATTCTGGAATTCTGGAAAAGCTAGCTTCAATACCTCTTTTATGCAATGTATTAGAGACGCAAATGTACAATGAATCTTATGCTCAGCGAAGTGGAAATCCTCAGAGATACAACAGTACTGAAAATGTCTCCAACACCCATTCACAGCAACAGCAGAATTACTTAAACTCTATAAATAAAAGCACTTACGAGATGTTTCATTCGTCGAAAGATATCACTCGGCAGAAGCATGAGCGACCTTATCGACGACAAAGCCTTCCGACCCCTGCATATCACTCAAGTTCAAACGGAATGCCGTTGCAAAGGTTTCAAGCTGGTCATTCAGTTGGGCCATCAAAATCATATGCCCTGAGTAGTGAACGCAACTTCCGTCGTCATAGCAACAGCCCTATCTACCCTTTAAATAAACTATATGACGCACATGATTTAAGAAATGTGGCTGACAGGAAACCTAATGTAATTTCAAATTTAGATTTAGAATCTACACCAGAACAGCTTTTGAATCATCATTCGACAATGACATCATCAACTCATATTTTAGCTCATGAGTCTTTATCAGAAACTAGAAATGCAGTTGAAAAGGCAGTGTCAGCAGAAGTAATCGACCTGACAGAAGCAGACCTTGAGCCAAGGAGTTCTGTATCCAGTTCTTCTCAGACTGCAGCAAAAAGTAGAAATGACAGCAAATCTGAAGACAGTGATTCCGTATTTGATATGGACAAAGGAACAGAGCAGACGAAGGCAAAGCTACGCGTAACTGGCCTTAAGAGACCTCGATACTCTGAATTAACAGGTGTGCACTATACTTTAGACAACCATAGTTTCAGTTTGTCGTCAAAAATTTGCACAATGTAAAATGGCTCATTCAATATTTTTTAGAAGGAGTAGGGCCAGAGGAATACATATGGACTACCATAAAAAAATAAAGAACCTTTCTTCAGTTAAGAAAACAATAGAACTTTTTCTCAAGGTTGGGTGCGCATCCAATCCTGACGTTTCACAAAACTGAAAAATGCAAATTCAGTAAAATTGAAAAGCCAGTTTTATATTTAAAGAGGAGAATAATCAATTTCATAAATTCTTATTGAAAAATCTAACAGAARTGTATGATAATTCTCATTATAAAACTCCTGTTCTGGTATTGTGGCCCGTCAACCTTGAGAAAACAGTCTATACTTGACAATAATTATTCACATGTCTCTATCACTGCCAGTTCACGTTCATCTCACTTCGATGCAAAAGCATGGCTACATTTCAAGATGGTGCAGTGAACTGTGAAAGAGACTATTACATACTTATTGCATGGTATTAATTAACAGTAATAGTCTTGCAACATAAAGATATGTATGTCTTTATAATGTGTAATTGCTTGTGCTAATTGCAATAGTCCTGGTCTTACTAGGCTTCAATGACAATGCTCACAGTTTTGCCAACAAAAAGATGAGAAGGGCTAGTGGTCCTGACAGATTTGCAAGCCATACCTCAAGTTCTACTTACAGCAGACCAAGAGAAAACTCTCGTAGCACATCTCCTTACCCAACTGATCTGCCGTTTACTCTAAAAACAGTAAGTGTCCTTATCTTGCTTCCTAACTGAGTGGGTTAAATTACGACAGTTCCCAAGGGTAATTGCTGATAAATTGCCACAACCAGCTAGGCTTGAAGTAACATCACCACATCTAACTAATCTGCCTTTTTGCTCTAGACATAAAGTAATTCAGTTGAGCTTAGCTTAACTGTACCCTTACAAATACAGTATACTGCCACTACAAGCAAATGAAAAGATCACTTTATTTTTTTGTCCTAGCTTACAGAAGAGATCAAAAAGGAGAGCACAGAATGCTTACAGAGCTCAGCTTTGCTGGCAAAAAAGCAAACACTCAGATCTGTGCTGGAAAATATTTTCAGAGTACAATTTCCAGGTATTTCATTCTTTGCATTTTATTTGTATCATTGCCTTATTGACCACCCTCCCTCCCTCTCTCCCTCCCTCCCTCCATCCAGTCCTCCACTCACCCCTACCCATTCTATCTTTTTCTTTTTCCATTTCCTCCCATCCATCCATCCACTTCTTCTTCCATCCATCTGTTCTCCCATCCATTAAACCATTCTTCTCTCAAGGATACATCCATCCATGGGCTACCATCTCTTTCATTTCCCTTTCATCTCATCCATTCATCTTGTCATCCACCCATCAAGAAATGCCTAACACAATGAAGATTTAATGTTATTATTGCAATCTCCCTCTCTCCCTTCCTCCCTCCCTCCCTCCCTCCCTCCCTCCCTCCATCCATCCAGTCCTCCATGCACCCCTACCCATTCTTTCTTTTTCTTTTTCCATTTCCTTCTATTCATCCCATCCATCAATCCACTTCTCCTTCCATCCATCTGTCCTCCCATCCATTCAACCTTTCTTYTCTCAGAAATACATCCATCCATGGGGTACCATCTCTTTCATTTCCCTTTCCTCCCATCCATCCATCTTGTCATCCACGCATCAAGAAATGCTAAACACAATGAAGATTCAAATGTAATTGCATCTAGTAATTTTAGAAGAAGAATTGGACAACCAATTAATGCTTGGTACTAATTAATAACTCCGTTCATTGATAAATAGGCCATTTCACGGATCCTGTTACTCAACCTCAGCCTCGCCAGCGTGTAAACTATTCTTTAGAATTTGACTACAGTCTGCAGTAATGAAAGGAATTTACACATGAACAAACAATTGAAACACTTAAAAAATTTCACAGATTGTAGGCAATTTCTAAAGAATATATTACACGCTGACGAGGCTGAGGTTGAGCCGAGCGATCTGTGAAATGGTCTATTCTTGTTGATCAGGTTGTGTTCTTCATCTGGTTGGCTCATCTGTCAATGGTCTCGGCAATGAACAAAGTGATGCTGATTTCTGTCTCATGTTGACTCAGTGGAGAGAGGTATGTATTGTACATGTATTACATCATAATAGTACACATTTATTGATTAAATAATTACAAAAGATGTCAGAAAGACAGACCCAGACGGATGTTCAGACAGAATTTTAGCAGCAAAGAAGGATATAAAGAAGTCAGAGAAGCATTTGATTATTACATATAGGCCTGTACAGATATTTTTTAGACCCTTGGCGTTGAGTGCCTGGGCTTGAGTGCATGACCTCCTACGTGACAGTCTGATGATCAACCAGTGAACCAACCAGATGGCTGCACTTTATTTTCATACCAACATCCAAAAAATAAGTTCCTCCGAAAAAAAGCTTCGTTTACCTGATTATATTGTTAGTTATAAGCCCATTATTTTCAGGGCCTGGTTGTAAGAAGCCTAGATAGCTCTTTCCGACAGATTATTTTTATCCAGTAGATAAATCTATTGGAAAACCGCATTGACTTATCGACTGGATAAGGATTTATCCACTGGATAGCACTATCCAAGCTTCGTACAAATAGGCCGTGATGTTTAAGTTACAGTATGTTAGGTGTAAAGCTCTAGTTTACCTTTGTATAATATACTCTTTATAATTGTGAATAATATATCTCTTTTGTATTCAGATTGATCAAAGGTCTGAAGCAAGAGGAATCCTCCTGAAACTTAATAGGCTCTTAAGCAGCTGCAGTGAGTTCTTTGGGATTGAAGAAATAGAAAACGCGCACTCGTGCTGTGTGCAGTTATTGAAGGGATTGACAGAACATGAAAGAAGTGTTAGGAGAAGCATCATGATGCCTAACAGATTGAGTGCTTCTCGACACTTCTTGAGTGTTCTGCCAATCCCCAACTGCGTTATAACTCCACACAGCACAGCAAGCAAATTTTTGATTTCTTTTATAAAATGCAAAGGATGCTTGGGTGCTGTGTGCTCTCATAAAGCAAACACTCCCAGCCAATCAGAATGCAAGATTTATAACAGTTATTTCATATTGTGAATTAGAAAACTGTTTGCCTATAGGTGAAGATGAATGACTGATTCAACAAATGAATGAACGAATGAACAAATGAATGCTCGAACGAATGAATGAACAAATGCATGGTGCTTTTTTACCAAGATAATGAAATAGCAGACTACCTGCCAATATAGAATAAACTATAATAAATAATGGTATATTATTTAAAATATGAAATGATAGCAATATATATATTCTTTTGCATTTAGGTTTTGTCGAGGGCAATCAAGTCATCTTTGCTACTGTCCCTATCATTAAATTTGTAGACTCTGTAAGGTAAGAATTAGGCATATGCTGATAACATGTCATTTAAATTCACAACGTGGTTTCAAAGTTTCGAGTCACTGCTTCAAACTGCAAACACCATGCTGTGTGTGGATTGAGCTTGATGTGTTGTTCTCTCCTATGCTATGACCCTTTTCTCCCAGTTCTATGGTTTCTCACAGATTGAAATGGAGTTTTCGCATGCCAGGTTTTGCAGACATAGGAAAATCAGAATCTAGACAAAAAAACCTGATAGTGATCAAGTGAAAAAGTTAAATTTTAACTCTCATAAGGTGTCAAGTCTGGGATTCAAACCCTAGACACAGAGGTGAGAGGTGCGTGAACAAACCTCTAGGCCACCCTTGATTCCCCTATACAACATTATTGTATTCCATTTGTGCACGTTTAATGGGATATTTACCAGGGAATGTTTGTATATTTGTAGCCGTTGTGAATGTGACATCAATATCAACAATCATGTGGTAAGAGAATATTAATTAAAATATTAATTTAAAGTAATTATGCACTCTCTGTTATAATGAATGGTGCTATCATGATAATGATTGCATGCGTGATAGTGTAATGATGTCATGGTGATCTTGATGGTGTTGACATCTGGTGATGGTGTTGGTGATGGTGACATGTGGTGATGGTGTTGGGGATGGCGATGGCGATGGCGATGGCAATGGCGATGGTGATGGTGTTGGTGTTGGTGACATGTGGTGATCTTGATGGTGTTGACATCTGGTGATGGTGATGGTG